CATACCCAGCCACCAAAGTCTTATGGGTGGGATTCCTCCTGGTTACCTGACATCAAGGAACAATATGGGCATGAATTACACTGTATTCCAACTGGCAGGTTATTCTAATTGTTTTTCCAATTGTGTTCCAGGAGGTTTACAGTTTTCTGCCACTGACAGTTTGGATTCCAATGGCCTCATAGATGCTTTCAGTCAAATATCATCAGGAAGTGGAAATATCTCTCAACAATCTATTCAGGTTTGGATTTCAAACATTTGAAGGAACTACTGTTGTTAGTTGTAACAGTCGTGGTGTACTTAATGTTACTAGGCATTGAACAAAAATTGGAAATAACAAGCAGAGTGAAACTAAGTCCACACAGTCCAAGCTGTGCTACTGTTGGAGAAGGAGGGACCCATGAGGAATTCACAGAAGAGGGGGTGTGGGGCAAGCAGCCTGAGGAAACAGATTGTTTGGTGGACATTTGCTGTCCTAGTACATATTATACAGGCAAACACTATGATTTAGCTTTCCTATCCGGGCGAATAACAAATTTCGGGAGTGAATTTGTTAGGAAATGCCACTGTGAAGAATCCAGGAGTTCCTGGAATGAAAATTTATTCCCAAATATTTGAATTGCTTAACCTGTTTTATACTGTTCCCCCTAAATTTCCAAGATCCGCCCCCCCCCCCGGCCATATTTTGGCAAAGTCCATTACTTTGGATTTCCTGTAATTTAATTGTAGCCCATTTTTATCCAAATATTCTGTGCAGCTGTTGCTCAAATGATTCAGAACTATGTACGTTTGAGAGATAATGCGTCATCTGCATAAAGCAGCAGTATGACTTTACAGAACCCAAGTCTAGGACTGTGACCTTCTACAGTGATTGGATGGGATGCTAGATTGTTTATGAAGAGATTAAACAAGGTCGGTGCTAGGATACATCCTTGTTTCACCCCCTTATTAGTTGGAAATGGTTGGGTTAGTTCTCCTTTTCATGACCTGGCAGAATGTGTCCAAATATAATGTTCTTATAAATAGAAGGAATCTTTTTTATATTCCTAGCTTATGCAGCTTAACCCAAAGGCTATCTCTATTAAGTGAATCAAGGTCCCTTTAAATCAAGAAAGATGGCATACAATCTAGAGTTTGCTTTTCCCACCTATTTATGTATAAGCTGGGATAATAGTACACAATTGTTTAGTGTGGATTTGCCTTATCTAAATTCTGCTTTCTCTGGGCCAAAGACTTTTTGTTGAACAATCTTTCAATTGACTATATTCACTACTTAATCATCTTCCAAAGCAATTAATAACCAATGCAAATCTATAAATGCACAAACTGTAATAAACATATTTCACTCAGATACTGACTGGTTACCACAGCTTACTGGTACAGTAGTGCTGGGCACAAAACTACCCTTACTTGTTCAGTGTAGCTCCCTATCCGTCTACCTGCATGTACTCAGCTGCAGAATAGAGCAGTGTTTCGCAAGGGGATGCAGAATCCAGATGTGCACAAGAGAAATCCCCTCATGGTAGCTTGAGCATTATGTATTTTGTGTACCAAAACAATGCGAGGGCACATTATAGGCAACTTACACACCTGTTACTCTAGGAAAACAGGCAGACAGAGAGACAGTTTAATATGCAAGTGTATGTTTTTGCTACATCAAAGTCCTCTTTTTTAAAAATCCTGACAGCTTGAAAGTAAAGGAGAAAGCATCAATCCAAGCCAGTGGCTGGATGGTACTGTAACCATTGACAAAACTGTGGGAAATGACACTTTCTTCGTAGTTGCATGGAGTGTGAGCACATATCCACCAGGAATTTTTCTTTGGGATCCCAAAAAAAAGAAGTATACTGCAACGGACTTCACAATTGATACTACCAATCGCCAAGCAGCTCGCCTCCAGATCCAAGGAACTGCCGAGGTAAAACTCACACTTTCTTTACAACTACATATTTAATCCCACACATATGAGGAATGGGCCTGTTCCTTCTGGAAATCAGGCAAAGAGCTGTCTCCTGGAGCTGATGGAACTGTAGCTGTGCTGAATCCCTACAGTACAAGTAGCATGAAGGACTGTGGAAAGAGGGAAGAACCATTTTCTTCCAGAAGTCCTTTATCCAGTATTTCATATTTCAAAGAATGTGAGGCGGGTGACTACCAGAAAAAGGGCTTTTTGGCTGTGGCACCCTGAATATGGAATGAGCTCCCCAAGGAGGTGTGACTGGTTCCTACTCTGTATTCTTTTCAGTGCCAAGTGAAAACCTGCTTATTTTCCCAGTATTTTAACAGTTAACATTTTAACTTTGGTTTTTATTTTGTATTTTATTCTGCACTGCTGCTGCACCTGTGTGCAGATTCTGCTGCAATTGCTATGGGTTTATTATTATATGTTAAATGTCCTGGTTTGGGTGTTTTAAAATTTCGTTAACTGCTCAGAGAGCCCTGGATATTGGGTGATATGACAATTAATTAAGCAATTAATTAAGCATGTTGATTTGCAGGTGGGAGACTGGACTTATTCAATTCAAAATACGCACAGCACAGCTCAAGTCCTGTCAGTCACTGTCACCAGCCGAGCAGCCAGTGCAGCTGTGCCTCCAGTGATTGTGAAGCCCTACATGAACAGGGACGCCAACACCTACCCCAGTCCAATTGTCATTTATGCAGAAGTTAGCCAGGGATTTCTGCCTGTTGTTCATGCAAATGTCACAGCTACGATTGAATCTGTGTCTGGAAAGACTACAGAGTTAGAGCTTTTTGATGATGGTTCAGGTAAGCTTATTTTGAAGTTCTTCTGCTATTTTGTAACTTAGAATTTGCCTCATGCATGTAGAATCATAGTAGCATGTAAACTCATACAGGACAGAGATGGGTCCTCCTTCCTCTTGCACAGAAAGCAGGAGTTCTACCACTGTGCTGTCTACCACCGGCCCTGCTCACTCCCACCGCACTCTTGGCCTCATGGTGGGCACACAGTCCCAATGTTGGTATGGGGAGTGCTACATCTGTAGCCTGTGTGATAACTTTCATAAAGCTACTGCAAATTCTG